GTTCTTGCAGAGAGCCTAACAGAGCCTGTGAAGGCTGAGCTAACAGTTTGGGTGTGCTGGCAAGACTGCATGCTCCAGTGGGCTTGGGCTGGCAAGCTCAGTAATGGAGAATTTGCCCGCTGGCCATCTTTCACAAAAGCGGAGTTTCCAAGGAGATAAGCACCTGTCTGCCATAAACCCTTTCTCTGCTTTCCTCTTCTGAGGTATCTGAGGACACTTTACAACTCTATCTCAGTAAGTGGAGGAGAGGTAGGTTTTTAAAAGCAAGGATATTTCTTCCTGTTATCACTACTGACAAAAACAATGCTGGGTTTATAGTGATACCTGAGAGTTACCTTTCTGTAGAGGGAACCTGTGTGGTGTTTGCTGTATCCATTCAGCTTGTCTTGTTTATTTAGTTTGTTCTTTGGGTCAGGGCCATCTAAGACACTGTATTTTCGCTTCATAGACACTGGAATGGTGTTGGATTTAATTAGGTAAAAACTAAATGGAAAGAAAAGATAAGGAGGACGGCATGGATATCAGGGAAGGGGAAGAAGTAGGTGGGAAAAGTGCTGAACTTATGTCCTCATGTGCTCTCTCAGTCAAACTGAGACCACTAAGTTACAGAGCCAAGCTCCTTACCACTCCATGGGTCTTAGAGTCTCCTTCCTTGCATGTGGCTCAGCTTCAGCAGAATATCCCTTCTTCCACCCTGTGGTGGTTTTGGTGCTCCTCTCAGAAACGGGAGACATTAGTTTGAATCCTCTTAAGATGAGAAGGGCCTAAATCGTAAGCAGTGCACTGCAAGTGTGACCATTGCACTGCAGCGCTGGTGCCAAAGTCAGGCTTGTCCATACCATCACTCTTCCATCACCCTTTTTTCTTTAGTCTAAAGTGCAGTGCTGTTCAGCTATAGTGCCTACCCAGGAGAGGCTTCTGGGCTCTGAAGTCCACATGGGTGAAATGCAGCCTTTAGACAAGCACTGAAGTCTGGAGAGAAGGTAAAATTCACACCTAGGCCTATGCTCACAGGCCTCTCAGCTGGCCTACTCAGCCTCTTGGTATTTGGGAACTGCTCTCCAGGACTTAGGTTCCTAACCATGGACTTTTAAAACACTGATCTGAAAAAGGCCATGCAGCAGCAGCTGCAGTATTTACAATGGAGGCACTTAAATAGTGTCTTTGGATTTCCCACTATGTTTGCATATTGCTTTTTTTTCCCCCCTAGTTATATTAAAGAATAGTTGGATAGGGAAGGGCTCTTGTACCAGAATATCTAAATTCTTTGGGGGCACCAGCCTACAATCTCTCTACTAATGAAAGAAAATTTACTGATGCAAATAATCCCCTCCCCAACACACACTTTTTAAAACAACTTTTAAAGGATCCTTTTCTTCTAAATCAGTAGCATCTCAGACAACTACTTTCTGTTAAAGTTTTAAGGAAGAGGCTTACGTATACTTCTCACCTTGACTCCTTTCATAATAAAAAAAAAAATAGTAGCAGTGTTGAATAGTGGATTATTTCATCTTGGCCTGGAGTAGAAATACTGCTGTGTGAGTGATGCACATTGTCTTCATAGTGTAATAATTTGGACAATTGTGTTCTTCACTCTCTCTTTTGTTTGCAGGTTGATTTGTAACAACAAATTCATATTTACAACAAGGAAGGCAATTGAAGTAGTAAGTTTTCGCAAAAGGAACAAGACAGCTTATTTCTACCTGTTTTTATTGTCACCTCTGGCACTTGCTTCTTTTTCCAGAACTAAAGTCCTCTCAGGGAACTTCATGGCCTCACAGAGGTTCCTGTTGCATGCGGTACTGGTGCTTGAAGCCAGACTTTATTGCTGAATCCCTGTCAAAGGGGAAGAACTGACTTCTCTCAGCTTTTCCTACAGGCCATAAACCCTCTTCTTATATTGATTTAGGGATCTATTGAATTTACATTGTGGAAGTAAATTGTATCTTCAAGTAGGTCATTACTGGGTTTTGTTCTGGCCAGGAATCTCAAAACCAAGTCAAGGCTCTTAAATATCGCTCTTACCTACACCAAAATGAGGAAAAAAAAAAAAAGTTTCCCAAAGGCACTGTAACATATAAGTGAATCAAAAAGAGAAAGCCTGACCGTCTTTTTCCTCCTCGCAAATGAGCTGGGAAATAGAGTACATGTGAGCATTTGGAGATTTTATACAAAATGGACAGAAGTCTGGTTACTGTTTCAGTTATTCAAACGCGTAGCACAAAAGTGCAAACTCTCTAGCACTTACACTGGATGAACTGGAAGTAATAGCACGAATAAACAATTAATTAATGAAACCAGAACTATGTGAGGAAGATGCTTTTTCATTGAGTGGATACTTCCATCCACCTCTTCTCTTAGGCTGAACTGTGGCAGGAAGCCAGTGAATGAGACTAGCAGTTAAAAACAGTCAAAACAGGGGAACTTTGGCTGTTCTGACAGTTGTCTATGATGTGGACCTGGCATTCTCTGCTTTGTACTGTTGGGCCCAAAATGGGCTCTGTTGTTGTGTTTTACTTTAGTTTTTAAAGCTACTGAGAAGATTGCCTTTGGATACAAGGGTAATGTAGGTTTGACAGGGATCAGGTCATCTCCTCTTTGTGAGTGGCCTACTGTCTATTTTCAAGAATCATGGCCCTCTTCTCTCTTCTTAGTCCCTTGTATTTTGCATTCCTGGCTGTGCAGAGCCCAACTTCAGTAGTAGTAGGAGAGAGAGAGTACCCCCTCAACTAGCTTTTCTGGATTTTGGGATTCTACTGTACTAAAAATCTGATGATTCAGTAACTTATCCTTGTTCTTTCTGCCTGTGTGGATACCACAGTCACACAGGTAAGAGGTCATTCATGTGCTATCTGACATTGTTGGTCCATGGACCATGGCTTATAGGGTAGGTTATCTCTACACTCATCAAGGAACTCCACAAGCATGTTCATGATGTGTTTCCATTGTATAATTTTTCTGTTCAGCTGCCCCCGTTTATTGTCAGGTAGACAAAAATTTACCATGCTAAGTGCTGGAGGGAGATTAGAACTAGTAATTTTTAGCTGATCTGTGAGAATAAGGTTGAAGAAAAATATACTATGTTGTGAGGTTAAATATTTCTAAGTGTATCTTTGAGAAACTCTAGCTCCTTCATGCCATTAAATGATTAAGGAATGCTAGGGAAAAATAGTGTGGGACCTGGTAATGAAGGACTGTGTCCTAAGATTAATAGAAAAGGAAGCTTGTATGAGATTTTTTGAAGGATAGCTTTGGAGCGCTTGACTTTGCAATCTTAAACATTTAAATTTCGTTTTTGGTATCTAATGTGTTCCTCCACTCTGGTATTGGAGTTTTTAATAGGCAGTGAGATAGTACGGATTTGATGCTGTTATGAATTTAAAGATCAGTAGAGAATCCCCTGAGAGTATTTTCCTTGTTAACCTGTTAATGGATTCTGTGACATTATGATCTACAGATATTTCTTCTGTCTCTGTAGAGGGTATCATTGTCAATATCCTTTATCAAAGCCTTGATCCTCTTGGGGTTGTTCTCTGAGCTCTAAACATGTAGCTACTGTCTTTCCCCTTAGTTCATGTTGATTTATATGAGTTACTCAAGGAATAGTGCTTGCAGAATAAAATTGCTGCAGCAATTCCCAGTACTTTGTGTTCTTATGGTATTCAGAATTTTTGGACATTCAATTTTTTTTTGCTGTTTTCTTGCAAATGTTATTGTTCCAGACAATCACATCTGGTTATTTACTCCTTTCATTCGGCAACACAGTAATCTATTTCTTCTTAGTACAAATAGACTATCTGACTCCCTAAGTCAAATTTTTACTAGTTTATTTTGGCAGGGAAAAATAATGATAAATTATGTGATAATTTTGTAACATCTTCCTAGTTCCAAGCGCAATTATTTTTAGCAAGTAACACTGCTCCCAGTAGCTATGCCTTTGGACTGTGACATGTTTTAATGTGTCTGAAGTGAACCATACACAGTCTGTGCTCTGCACAAGGTTAAGTTCAGTCTTGCTAAGGCTTTTCAAGATCGACAATGGATTTGTTTCCCAAACATAAATAATTTTTTGTGTTCTAGCTATGCAAAATGATTATAGAACTTCCTTAAAAGTGCATTTGCTTTCTTTGTTAGTCACATATGTGAAATCCTTATTCTGAAGTCTTATTTTAGAGACTACAATAAACTTGTAATGATGTTATTTTTGCCCTTTCACTCTATGCCTTAAGTGATGTCTTTGTTCGCTTGTATGAGCTACTGTAAATTCTTTGGCATTGGAACTCCTTCTATTTTGTATGACATTTTGTATGTCGTGCTGCAACGTTATTTTGTTTTGTCTGCTAACCTTATATAAGGCAGGGGAAATAAAAGTGAAGAATGGCTTTTTCAGGGAACATTAGAGATTACTGACAGAGCTGTGGCAGGGTGTTCTCAGGGTACCTGCGTTCCTCTCCAACAGCAACTTTTGCCTCTTGCTTCCTGTCAGTATTGCTATCAGAGTAAGCTTGTTACCTTTCTTGTAAGACATCTGAAACTGCCAGTTTGAAACTTAATTCTTGTGAAAACTTTCAATCTTTGTTTAAAGTAGATATAAAATTCTAGTATGATGCCATAGTTGTATTTTTACATTCATTCTTCTTTGCGATTATAGAGACATAAATAACATTCTAGTGTGTCCAGCAGCAGTGATATGCTGGTAGTTTGGTATGCATAAGGTCTCCTGAACACTGAGCACTGGCCTACAAAGTACTATTTTCAGAGTTTCTTTCAGAGAGGAACAACAATTTAGGTCTGACAGACCTATTAACACTTACAAACTGAAGGAGGCAATATTTTCCATTCTAAAATCTGGGCTACTATCTTTTAGTTGATGGCAGTGATTTTCCTGGCAGCAAATTCCTGCAAAACATTCCCTTGCTTGCACTGTAAAGCTGCTTAGGTTCTGAGTTTCACGTTTCACTGAAAGGATCAATGTAGTCAGTAGCAGCTAACACTATTTTGCTGATGATGAAATTTCTGATTTCCTTGCTGAGAGAAAATCCAGAGTGCCTTTAACAGACAGAAAGAAGAATTTAAGCCGTGAGTGAGAAACGTTTTTTTCCCCGGTTCACATGAAGCTGTGGTGGTGGCGGCATAAGTTATCTTTTGTGAAGCACCACTCCCTTGCTCAAGGCATCTTCATTTTCTATAGTGTTATGAAATGGATACCAACCTCTAAATCAACTGACTTTCCTTTTAGATTTTTTAATGTTGTATCCTGCTGGGCTTTCAGCTTTGGACTCCTGGGTGACCCGTGGAATCTTCTTTTTTTTCAGGTATTTGCACATCTTTCTTTGGTGCAAAATGTCGGCCATTTCGTGGTTTAGGGTTAAATAATGCTCTGTTTTTTTCCAGAAAAGCCTGTATCTTATCCATTTTGGAAATGAGGATGTTAATTCTTTCTTGTATTTTCAAGTATTTTGCATGTTATGCAGCCTTCCTCCTTAAGCGTAGAAACTGCAAATATCTCCCTCTTCAGTTCCTAAAATCTGGAAAGTGTGATTATGGTTTAAATCTACTCAATACAAAAAATAAATCATAGAAACCCTAGAACACAGGTTGGTTGAGACTAGACTGAGAAACTGTAATTTAAAAATGGAAAGAATCTTTGCAGGTATCTCGCACAACAGGGTGTGAAGGATGCAGGTGCACTGCTGCAGAACATGCAGTTGGTTTGCGGAAAGAGACTTGGACAGTGATGGTCCTGACCAAGGTCTCTTACCAGCATTTTGACCCAAATCAGATATCCACAAGATGGGATTACTTTCACCTTTCCTTCCAGCTTGGTTGAAACTTTGTGCCTAATTTTATTTACTGAAAAGATTCATAATGAACCATTTCCATTTCAGAACGGCTAACATAATTTCTGTTCATTGAGCAATCTACTTTTAAGGCTTAAGCTGCTACTTTTTTTTTTTTTTAATTCACAAGCATGTTGAAGAATAGAGAACTATGTAGAAGCACCCAAATAGAGTAAAGATGATTGCTCTGCAATAATTTTGTTCCTAGCAGGTTCAAATATGCTGTTTTGAGCCAAGAGTGTTAACAGAGTTCCGGTAGTCTAAAGCCTACTCTATAATTACATCAGTATTCATTAGTTCTGGAATAAGAATTTAACTATCCAGGGCTTGTGTTGTAATTTTTATCTGGTGTCTTTTTGTTCTCCAGGCTTCTACCTTGTGAGTGTCTGTAGAGCAGGAGGAGGGAGCCATTATTTTTTTCTAGTCCTTTTCTCCCCAACAACATAAACTACGATTATAATTAGAAAATGAAACTTAAAATCAGCTATTAAGAGGATGATATACGTGGATATATGCATATAACTGGATGTATATGCATGTCTGGAGATGTGTGTGTGTGTGTATGGATATATATAGAAAGAGAGATATGCATATATGTCTGGATATATATGTCTATGTATATTGAAAGCATTGGTGGCTCGTTGAAGAAAAGCCTTCTGGTTCAGAATGAGGCAAGCATTCTGCAATATAATCAAAGATTATATCTAGCTGATAGGTTTGCAGTTCCCTACTGTGGGGAGAAAGAAAAGATGGATTTTGTCCTTTGGAGGAGCAGAAGGGGATCATGTTTTGTTATTGATAAGCTCACTGCCTGCCTGCCTGCTGCCTGAGAAAAGGTAGAGGTAGGTTTGAATGTTTTCCTGTTAATGAGTTAGGAATTAATGAATGAGATATTGGTTGGTGGATCTGTAACAATGGTGTTCAGAGTGGTAGAAATTAGAGAAATTAGGTATTTAATAAGAACTAGTTGTGTATTTTCACCTTTGAGTACAGATACAGGTCTGCATTCTGCAGTAGTGGATCTGAGAGGGTTCTATAGGTTCAGCTCCCTATGTTTGAAACCTTGTATTTTAGACTCTTCAGTCTACAGCTCTTTATTTCCTCGCGCAATAAATAAGGACTTTTAAAATAGAACTTGTTTGAAATTTTGTATGGAACTGGAAATTTATGTTTTTGCAGGAAATTTTTATTTTTAATGACTTTAAAATGTGCATATTTGGAAAGCTGAAATAATACTTAAAAGTTTTTTTGGGGATCATATCAACCGAAATGGAAACAAGATTTGAAATATGTTCATGCTTCGTCAAAAGGTGAAGCTTCTTGTAAGGGCACATGATGATAGTCAAGTGGTTGACCCTCCTCTGCTCATTTGGGCTCCCTCATCGGATTGCTGTCCTGTTGAGTTACTGAAAACATGGGACGCTTTCAGACACAGCTTTCCTGAACTACTTGTGTCCCCTTTTTTTTTTGTTTTTTACTGTTTGGGGTAGCTGGTATTTTAAAATTTTCATTTTAATTTGGAACAAAAGAATCTTTACAAGCTTTGAAAGTTGCTAAAGGGAGGAGAGACGGATTCTTCAGCTTTTTCCTCCACTCTGTCTTTGCCACAGTTAAGAAGAGTAATTTAGGGAAGATGGGGCTCTGCCTGAACAATTAACAGAGATGAAAAGGTTGTTCTTTTGATCATCTGAATATTTGATGCATTTTTATGAATAAAAAGTTGCTCTAACAGTGAGGATAACAGTAAGTTTAGGACTGCAAAATTTAGAAAGTGTCAACAATAAAACAAGGAAGTGCATTGCTACCTAGGTCAGCCTTATGTAGAACCTCCTTCTTTGTAATTTCACGGTCTCCTTTGAGTAGCTGAAATGAGGACCAGTGTCAGCTCTCTTAGTGCCTTTGTTTGTTGGATGCAGCTCCTGGAAATTTATAAACTTGATTTTGTGTTAAGTATGACTGTAAGCCCACTTTCCCAAAGCTTCAACACATTCACTGCGTCTGTTCTAGAGTGGAGGGTCTCAGTCCCTCTCTTTTCAGCCCCTTTTAAAATTTTATACTCCTGGAGTGCCAGGGCGTTGTAAACCAGCCTGTTGTACTCCTAGACCAAAGACATGCCTTATGTGCTCCCCCGACCCATCTCTTGCCTGATGAAGTGCACTGAAATTCCTTGTAGTGTGTATTCACATTGGAGAGCATACAAGTGCAATGCCACCTGGAAGGGAGTTATTGTGCTACTAAATAGGGATTTTTTTTTTTTTTTTTTTTTTTTTTTTTGGACAGCAGCAACCTATGTAGAAGGCCAAACAAATCTTTGCTGATCTCTTAATTCACGTTGTTGACCACGGGGCAGTTAAAAAGCAGAAAGGGGTGTCTATGGCTAAAAAAACCCCTGACAATTAAATACAAATCTGAGTTCCATTACATAAGCTAGTTTGCCTTTAGCAATTTATGAAGACCAAACAGGACACAAAATGTAGCAGAGAACAAATTACAGAAGGGAGTTTCAGTGAAATGTTAGTGTTACATCTGTGGCATACATCTGAGCTTTGCCGGATGGGGGACAGAGCCCTGCAGTCATTCCAGAGCGCTGGGGATCTGTCTCGTCTTTCCTTTCTGGACTTTCCTGTGATGTTTCACTCCTGTGGCTCATCTTGCAGCCTCTTGTTGCCTTGGGGCTGCATGGTTGGCTGGATTTGGAGGTCTGGCCGGACTGTTTCCGCTGGGAGGGAGGAAGGAATGACAAGGGCTGGGGCTATGCTCTCTGGTACAACCTTGCTTATTTCCAAAGGGTGCCTGCAGAGCACTGAGCGCAGCTGGAGGATAGACTTCCTTTTTTCAAAGTCCAGGCCTACCTTTTCAACAAGTACTCTGTGCTTGCTATTTCTGGGCCTCTTTCCAGCTCGCTTCACCTATAGCTTTCCATCCCTTTTATTTCAACATAGGCAGTCAGGTTGATATCCCTGTGTGCGCAGTCACTCTCTAGGGAAGAGAGTGACTTCCTGCCTGGCTGTGCCATAGGTGGTGGTTTCTATTATTTCCGTGTGTCACTTTGCAAAGTGACACTTAAACATTCCTGTGTGCTAACAGCAAAAAGACTGAGTGTACTGCTGAATTTTACCAGAGCTGGACTCGTAGCTGCCGTTAGCGTTTTCCAGAACACTACTGCAATACTACTGCACTGAAAAAATAATTATAAAAGCAGATATTTTTCTGACAGGTTTTACATTCTATCAATCAGTATTGTAATTGCATATTTAATTTTTGTCCTTCATCTGCTGAATAAATTTTGTGTCAGTGAGCAGATGTCTCTGCCTTAGCGATGAACCAGCTCCCAGACAATCCTCAGCTTTTATTTGCTTTCTTCTTGTTTCATCTCACTTCTACAAACTACAGATGACTTAATCGGCTTCAGTTTTAGGTTTATATATGTCATTCTTCTAGTTAAAACGTGCCCTTTCTTCCAGCTCCATCAGGTCTCTGAAAGGGATACTTTTGTTTAGGATCCTTTATTACTGCATGAAGATTACTTCATTATTTTTGTAGATTCATACATCTTCATATGTTGTTGTTTGTTATACATTTTTTGTATGAGGTAAGGTGCTGTGTGTATAAACAGGAAAATGCTCTTCTTCAGGCACAGTTCCTTCAACGATCAGGCAAAGCATCTATGCATATTTTTTAAGAGTTAACGTTCTCTGTAAATGTTGTTAAATACTCAGCCATTAGTGGAAAACCACTTGCTGATTAAATCAGGCAGTGGTTTTAAGAATTCATGTGCTCAGTGAATAAGATTTAGCATTATTTGTTTGAAAATTTAACTGTTGTACCTCTTTTCCTCAAAAGGCTAAAAGGAGAATTTAATTCCCCCAACGGAATCAATTTTTAGGCCTCAGTATCAATTTAATTGTTTTTTGTTATTAATTACAATGCACAGCTGATCAACTGCAGCCATAACTTGATATTTGTAGGAAACAAATGAAAATACTTAAACAAAAATATACTTTTGAAATTGGGCAGAATTTTACAAGAATTCATTTATTTCTTGCTCAGCTGTTGTATCTGTGAGCCACCTATAACTCCAGGTAGAAAATATCCCAGAAAAGGTCCATCTCCACAGCTTGAATGTTCCTTGGGTCCCTGGGAAAATAGCTTTCAGTTAGCCTCCATTTGACTGTCAAAACTCAGCTACTAATGTAACACATGTAAGAAAACAGTGAGGTGCTATGCTAGGCTGTTTGCATGAATAAACCAGGAACATAAACAAGTGCCCTGTTTCATTAACAGCAGAAGGTACTCAGAACTTGTTTCTTTAGCAGTATTACTTGGCATACATATAGTGATTTTGGTAGGAAGAGCACTAGCACTATTAAAAAAAAAAATCAATGTAGAATGCATTGAAAGATTTATAAAATATTTATCTGGAAGATCCTGAAAAGTAACAGAGGAAAAAACAAGGCTCATACTCTGGACCTATT